ATTGTTGAAGAAGAGGCTACAGAATGTGTCGAAGTTGCTAGTTCATTTTGATTTTTGTACCTATAAGAACATTCTGGAGCAAGATGGTTGAATTTGCCACAAATCTGGCAAGCCTGTGCATTAGCTGGAAGAATTCTACAGCCATCAAGATTATGTCTAGATCCCGGATATTGGCAATAATTCTTATAACAGAAAAAACCACTGTAATAACACGGTATAACAACTAAAAAACAAATCTATCATGTACCTTAGATGAACAGGACTAATACATGGTTTAGTAGCATTTATATTTGCAAAATTTGATTTCTGGATTTGAAGACCCATCAATACCAAGTTACAAATGATAACTACAAAATATAGTACTTAAATTACAACCAAATCTTTTAACATATCATATGTACTCAATGCTAATGGTGATGATTGAAACTTTGAAAGAGGCCAAGAAGTCAGATACCTGATTCAAACTACAGATGTTCAAGGCAAAATCACTATTCTAAAGTCTCATAAAATTGTAAAATACCTTTACTAATTAAATAACTCCAAACAGAAAGCATGGATCACCTACTTCCATAACAAAAAAAACCAATTAAAAAAATACCAATATAGAAGCTTCACTTCCCAAAAAGTTATTTCCAATTACTCCACGGAAACCAGCAACATTATATACAAGTGCAGAATACTTTTAGTCCTCAAAACAGTAAAATGTAATTACCAAATTTAGTCACTACTCACTAGAGCATAACATACCATCTGAATGGTTCTGGGCCCTTTCCAGGTGCTCACTTTCATTTAATGGATAAGACTCCTCTACTTGACAAGTGCAACACAGCCACTTGAGCATCCTTCTTATCTTCAAATACAAACATTATTTCATCGAAAATTTCATTTTTTCAATACAAAAGACTACGTGAAAAATCAGAAATAAAATTTTAGTTTATATGCACAACAAAATTGTGCCCACTAAAACCATTTTCAAATGTGTATTTTTAAGAAGCAGAGACCAATGCATATAGGCTATATGTGCATTTACATGTGGTAGACAAGTGCGGGAGGAGAATAAAATGAGAGACATATAAGCAAACCAGGTTATCCTGGAAGGGCACCAAGGGCTGACTATTCTGATGACCGTCGCCTCTGTTCCAAGGAATGTTCTGCTTTTAAACAATGTATGAGAAATAAAATTTATGAACTTAAAAAAAAAAAATTTATGACAAACAAACATGCAAATGTAAAAAATAAAGTTCAGATTTTGGGAGAATGGGTGTCCATTTACGATTAAGAGAAAAGTGAAAATTGGGACATATATAATTATTTAAATACCCGTAATGAATCTTTCTTGTATGGTGATTCGTTAAAGGGTATTTAATTAATTTCATAGGGAGTTTTGGCATTTTAATTGCCAGTACGTCTTGATTTTCTGCAATTCCATCTACAATTATAACTTTGAGGCCTTTTACTTCTTCTTTTTTAACACCCTTTTTGCCTTTTTCACAGATGCTGTTAACCAATGTGAGTTTCCTAATACTGTTTTAATTGCCAGTACATCTTGATTTTCTGTCATTCCATCTACAATTATAACTTTGAGGCCTTTTACTTCTTCTTCTTTTTTTTTTTTTTTTTTACCCTTTTCGCCTTTTT